TAAAACCGGAAGCTTTTGGTGTGTTTTAGCGACACCTGACGTTAGCACGTGACCAAAATGACAGTAGAGCGACAAATGAGTGACCATTTAATGATTGGCTAAGGACAACATTATGATTGATCAATGATCGATTAAGCAAGTACAAATAAGGTCAAATAAATGACATGTAAAGCACACGCATCGTTTAAAATTTCTATGGGTAAATTGATTAATGTTGACTTAAAGTCTAATATAACAGGAATATAAAGGCGTCGTATACACTTGAACTCGCTAGTCAATTGTAACAGGATTTTATAGCTGATTACACATCAAGATCCCTTGAAGTGTTCCGAATTGAACGAATTTGTTATTCATCGTATAAAGGACTATTTGTTTAGATTAAAGAACTGTTCCTAGATCAATATGTTTTCTCTTGCCGATAATAGTTTTTTTTTGTTCCGCGCAAATATTGTGTTCTTCCTTGTTCAAAAGAAGTAGAAAGAAAAGAAGAATATGTTATTTAAAAATATCGCTATTAGTATTACAAAAACAATACAATCTTAGACATTACACCCGGCGTTTAAGGTTCACGATTATTATCGATTTTAAAATTAAAACCAGAATAAAAATCCGTAATGGAAATAACTAACATGGAGATTCTTACAATTTCTTAAATCAACTATGCATTTGCTTGAAGTTGTGTTTATGTATTTTCTATTTAATCCTCCTGTTTTATTCTTTAATTAATTTTACCTTTTATTTTATGCATCATCTTTGTTTAATGTTTAATACGTAAATGTAGGAATATTTCTACTTCTGTTACTTCTATTAACTTTTGCAAGTACATACGTAAATGTAGGAATATTTCTACTTCTGTTACTTCTATTAACTTTTGCAAGTACATACGTAAATGTAGGAATATTTCTACTTCTGTTACTTCTATTAACTTTTGCAAGTACATGTACATGTAAAACGGTTTTATTACTGACACATGTTATTTTCTATTAATAGTAAATAGTTACTTTCTCACTCTATCAAAATAATTTAAATATCGCAGAAACTAATATCGTATGATTTTCTGTTTTATTCCGATACTGTGGTTCCAAATGTGGAAAAATCTCATCACTGAATCATGATGCAACAGCAAAATTTATGATTTTATTTCATCTTAGATTATATACAAAATTCAAGACAATTTTCATAATTGGATTCAATTACATGTATGATACGTTTAGGGTATTTTAATTAGAATATGGCTAAATTTGCAAAATATGTGACCTCTAAATGCTAAACTTAGAGTTGTTATATTAATGATCACCTTTTGATTGTAATTTTCGAAAGAACCTCAGTGAAAATGGGGGAAATAACTACTGCACCGTTTGAAAACGTTCCAACATTAAATAAATACTGAATCTTCCCCATTATAACGAAATGGTCACAAATTTCGATAAAGTCGATAAAGCATATTAATTAACCATAGTTGTTTTAAATTATTCCTTTATTAACCGTGTGTCGAAATATGAAATAAACATATCCAATGATTTCTTCTTTTTTTTTCAAGATTTACACCCGCTTCCAGCTAGGGTGATGTCGTAGACAAGTGTTTCCTAGGAGACGAGGGGTCAGTCTAGCTTAGGATGAAAATTTAACAGCGATTAGGAAGCTTAATATAATAGAGGTGGACTAAGAACATAACCTTGTAGCATGCCTTTAGTTATATTCTATGTTTTGAATGAAATGGGGTTTCAATGTCTCTTAAACACAAGTTATCATCTATTTTGCGATTAACATGTCGAAATTTTTATTTCTATGGTTAGGTAATGCGAGGCGACAGAATTGTGCCCAGATAGTGGCGTTTTTATCTATTATTCTTCGATTTCTATCGGTAAAGTTTTTTTACGTGCATGCTAATATGTACACAAGCGGGTGTAGACTAAGTTTTGCCATACTATCCAGATAACTAGAGACATCTTCCCTGTCAATTTGACAGTTTTTATTCCCCTGGCAAGTGAAGAAAATGAAATGAAATGGGGTTTAGCTTAATGTCCAACTGTTCTGCTCCGTAAGACGGACATACGCCATACCGTGTGCTTATATCGAATTCCAACTGCCAAGGGATCTTTTACATGCACGCCAATGTGTACACGGGACCTCGGTTTTTCGTTCCGCCCGAACGACTAAACGACTGCCCTTGTCAAGCCCTCTGCCCTGCACCACTGACAAGGGAAAACCACACCGGAAAATCCCGATGAACTTTATCGGTCAACACAGGATCGAACCCGCGACCTCCAGGCTAGCGATCCAGCGTCTTACTCACTCAGCCGCCGTGGCTGCAACACGTGAAGGTCAGGCTTGAAAAACCCCGAGCGTTCGCCTCTGTCCACGTCAGGATTCGAAAGTACCTGACCGCTCAAACTATAACGACCCCCTTTCTCTCGTTTATAACTAGATAATTATCTGTTCAATTATTCAGAAAAAAAAATCAGTTTTCGATTGACTTGACTCGCACGTCCATACGATAAAGAAACTTTTAATGACGCAGATCTGCCCAGATCAAAACAAACAAAGAAAATAAAATCTCTAGTATTCCTCCCAACACAATTAAAGCTTCAGCCACTTCCGACATCCTATTTATATATTTATTTCATTATAACAAATGTTTTGTCTAATTCTTCGTTTTTTTCCTCCAATAATATATAATTTAATAAGTTCCCGCTGGGTCTGTGCACGTATTTAACATGTCGCCGGGATGTGTTTAAGGAGGTGCATACCGAGTGTTTATTATGCTTTGTATAATAATAATAGAATGTCAAGTATATTTAACAAAAGCTCACAAGGTAGAAATATTGAAGTATCTAGTTCCCATGTACGTGCATTATTATGTACATGAATAAAGTGAGTTATTAGGGTAGGTTTGTATCGTGCTGTGATATTGTTCACCTGAGTACACGACGAACTGTCGTCTGTATTGATACAATAGGAAACACTTGATACCATCGAGTAAATAACTTTTCCCGTGGCCTCATTTATTCCATCGTTTATTGAAGACTAAGATCATATTCAGTTTTATTTCGTGTTCGATTATGACAAATCGACAAATCGCTTTATTAACTAATGATAAATTTAAAGGTACATTATGTAAGATTTAGATAAAGAACTAGCCATTCTTGCTATAATAGTTCGAAAGTAGATGATGTAAAATGAATAATTTGAAAATTTCATTCAAATTACTCTATTTGCAAGCGAAGATATTAGCCTTTGAAGGTTTGACAGACGTGTGCAATAATTTCAACCACCGTACTGGTTGATCGAAGCCCTCCATATTTGATTAAATCAAAGTATCGCTGAACCATTCTAATCTGTTTAATTTTGGAGAAATCTGATGCCATCGAGAGTTGATTAAGGCCTGGATCAGTTAATTAATGTCTAATTAATACTTTAGAAAACATTTCAGGCCTAAAGAAAGACCTGCAATAGTCAGATTTAGCTCTTGCATAATGCATGTTTAAGATTAATAAAATGTTGTAATATATTTTATATTACACAATAACATATTGTATAAAGGTGGTAATGTATAAAAGAAAACTCAACGTGTGCTCGTCTATTATAGTCCATGGTTTAGGTCATATTTAGTTCTATTTTGTGTTCGATTATCGTTTCATTAACAAATTAATAACTTACAGTTAATAAAATGTTGTAATATATTTAATTTTACACAATAACATACATGTATTGTTTAAAACAAAACCCAACGTCGGCTCGTGTATTCCATGGTCGTTTATTGAAGTCGAAGATTAATTCAGTTTTATTTTTGGTCGATTAGGACGACAATCGGTTTATTAACAAATTGCATACTTACTGTTAATGAAATGTTGGAAAATGTGTAATATTACATCATAAAATAATGTATAAAGGCGAAGAACAAAAACCAACGTAATCGACTCATGCATACAGACGTGAAATTTAATATTATTCTAACAACACATATACAATTACACCTGACACAGATCCATCTGGAGAGCGTGGGTTTACTGACGACATTTTGAAATTTTAAAAAAGTTTCGCCATCTATTACATCTAACTTCACAGCATATAAATTAATATTGTATTCTAAAACTAACAAATCTGTTTTAATATTGAACATACGATTATACGTTTTTTGTATTATTTAGCACCTCCAACTAAATATCTGATTACCAATAGAATAGAGTGTTTATTTTATATGGAAGTTGTTGTTGATTTGAATATCTAAATGTGAATTAAATATACATTTATCCAGGAAATAGTATATCAATAATTTATTTATAGTGGAAGCGGGAAATACAGCAGTTAATAAGTTGGCTGTCGTTTTAATGTTACTGAAAGGCCGTATTCTATCGCTACCTTTCTTTACGACTAATAAATTCATCATCTCTATTGTAGTAAAAACTAGTTACTTCTACACGATTTAATGAATGGGAATCTGATGAGCTAGCAGTGTCAATAAAAAACATTACAGCCACTTTCACCTCCATATTCTACCCCGCGCGTGAATTCATTGGCTCGTGCGGGCACGTGCTAAGCCTGCGCAAAGGCACGTCTGGCGAATTGACGTGATGATCAACCAATACGAGAGCGTTTTGAAGAGAGTAATGGCAATAACAAATGATTTGAATGATGATGAGAACTTGCTAATGACCAATAGAAAAATCATGACTAAAGTCGACGAACGAAGCGAATAGGGCTATGAATATCAATGGCCTTATTATTGCTGCCTAATTATTATTGGACCCACGTGAAGAAAGGAACAATACCGACATCAGTATAAAACCAATGATCTACAAATTCATTTAGTTTTACTCTAAACATCATTACATTGTAACTGTTGTCGCTACAACTCAGAATGAAGCGCTGATCATTGTGAAGCCACAGTTTTTTTTTAAAAAGAGAAACTTTTTTAAGATTAGTTGGTGGTGAAATTTTTGAAAAGAGAATTTATTATTTACAAAGTTTTAATGTTACTGAGTGACTACAGAAGAAGAATGTCTCGATCATTTTTAGTGGATTCTTTAATTGTGCAGAAACCTGCGAGATCAAGTGACTCTGGATCGCTTTCTACTTCAACTTCAACGTCTTCAGATAGCATGTTATCAAGGCATCTTCAGCACCTTCCAAGCAGTCACGGACTTCCATGTTATCCACGCCACCCAGCTGAGATGCTAGGATTGTGTTGTCCACTGTGCATTCATCCAAATCAGCATGTAATACCTACCACATCCACGGTTTCATCTATGAAAACTACTTCATCCCTAGGACCAGTTCCGAAGACGATCTTAGGCGGACTTACGTCTCCGTACTCTCATCCGTTTCCACATCATTTTGATTTGGTTGCGTCTACGTATCCTCAGCATCACGCATTACAGCCCTCAACCACAGTAGCATCTTTTGAACACGTGAACGTCAAACGACCTCACTCGGCTAATAGTGGTAAGTTATCAAATTTTTATTTAATGAAACATTTTTCTTTAAGATCTTCGATGGCGTTGTTCCTTTATCTTTGACTGATGCTTGTTTCAGACTTTTGTTTTCATACACACACACGTACACGTCAAGCTTTGGCAATAATCACGAGTATAAAACCTAATAAGGCTAATTATTTTTTGAAGCTAAAGAAATATTAGTTCAACATTTTTAATATTTTCAATATTGTGCTTGGAAAGTAAAGGTAACATATAAATAGTGTAGGTTTACACACGCACAACTGAAACAAATCTGAAATGCAAAATTTTAGAATGCTTTATTTTAACTTTTCGGACATTTCGAAAATCCACACATATTTACAGACGCTTTCTACTTCACCTCCACATAATTTTTCATGACTTCATTTTATCATTTTAGATGTAAACGGACCTTCGGACGATCTGCCAAGCAGTAAACGAATTCGTACAGCTTTCACAAGTACACAGCTTCTAGAGTTAGAAAGAGAATTCAACTCGAGCATGTATTTATCGCGCCTCAGAAGAATAGAAATAGCCACGTATCTTAACCTGTCAGAGAAACAAGTCAAAATTTGGTTCCAGAATCGTCGTGTCAAATACAAAAAAGACGGAGGAACCGAACCACGAGAATGTCGCTGTTTACGCACGTGCGGATCGCGCTCAGACAAAAAGAAGCACGAGTCTTGTTCGGATCGAGGCGATGACGTAAGTGATGACACTGATGATGATGGACACGACTGTTCACGTGAGCAGCACGAGGACTGTACAATACACGTGGACATCGACCATTCAGAGCAACCTGTTTAAATATTTTATTTTCACTGGACTAAACAATTCCAAATTGATTCGGGGGTCAAATTAAATTGACCTTTTATGCAGCGGCGTGCAACAGGCCACAGAGGGATTGAACCGCACACAGATGAATTACTGACAGTGAGTGACCAAAACAAAGATCGTGTCATTGACAGACATAAGAAAGTTTCCCAGAATGTGCCTGTATCGGTGGAAGGAGGAGAGAAACACATCTAGTCGAATTAAGTATTAAAATCATGATTTCACTTCATATTATGCTTGTCCAGTTATTACAGTGATACGTCAAAGTTTTCCCCGATAACGGGAAGTCAATCTCTAGTCCTTCTCTCATTGCTCAATATATATATTACTTTAAAATAGGCTTTTCAAGAAAAAATAAAGTTTATATGCCCATATTCATATATTGCTACATGTAACTCAATTCATATATTACATGTAGTAATTTTCCCGTTTAGACTTCTTGATTAATAAAATATATAAACTATATTTATTTTTCATACGAATCTGTCTCTTTGTAAAATTATCTAGAATTTTATTTAAACCGATATTTTTATGTTGGTTAATTTTTACAAGTAATTATTTTGATGCAATATTTTATTCATTAACAAAGTTTGAAATTCAAATTATTTTTTTAGTTTCATTTATGGTTTGAATTCTTATATTTTGTTATTAGAATTATTTTATGTTTATTTTATTTGAATTAGAATAATTTGTAATTTAAAACATTAAAGTATTACTAAAGTAAGGAATATATGTAAATCTTTGTCACATTGTTAATGTAATATGTTTTCACGAATCTCAAGCATATAGTGCCTTAATATTTACATTTATATACAGAAGTTAACTATTTTGTATATCCTTTGTTTATTATGTATATAATTGTTAAATAAAATTTGTTAATTATAATTTGATTGTTATAAATACGCTTTAAACAAAAAGATAATAAACAATTATACAGGGGTACAGTCCGAAGGACACAACGAGCAAAAAACGTATGAATATTGCTTCCTGATATAAGAGTAATTTTAATCGGTAACGGTGACAGTACATTAATGGGCATTAGGTTGAAGATTTATATTAAGAACTGAAAACAGAAAATAAAACTTCAAAACAGAGGAGAGTTGGCTGTCTTCGATTGGGGTGGGAGTGACGGTAGTATTTAAAATGTTAATACAATTATTGATTTCGTCTGGATAACGACATTATGAAGATGTATTCTATTCAGGTTAGAGTCAGCTTTACGGGTCGTGATATATGTCAAAATAATGTTGTATATTTTGAAACCATACAACTAAAATGTAAAGTTCTGTATTTGAGGTATGATGTCGAGCCATCCTCATTTTGCCGATATCTGGAAGCTTTTCATAAATTATCAATTTGCAGTTTAAGGGGAGACCACTCCGTTGCCCGTTCATTATTCTACGAGAAAATCCAATGATAAAATGAAAATAAAAGGCAATAACGCTGTCTGAAATATAGTATAAGGGCATTTTTTCAATATTTGATTTAATTATGATAGCCGAAGGCCCCTTTCATTATGTGCCAACAAGGAGAACTCGGCGAAAACCCACGAAGATTAGGCAGACAGTCTAAGTTCTTGCCTGGGCTCGAATCACGAGGTACTTGAATTGATGACCGACCTCAAGATCTAAAGCGTACAACCAAGCAGGAATTCTATTTGTCTTATTTCCCTACCCCGTGCACTTAAGAGAAAATCTATGTGATTCTAATAAAGCAATAAATTTGTATATTGTTTGAAATCTTGACCGGTCAAAATGTTCTTCCAATCAAAATCGCATATCGTTCTCTTTAATTTGATTGCCGGCGCGCAAACAAGAGAGATATCTCGCTCAAAATTTGTGAGATAAATCACAAATAGAACTGTTCTATATGATAAATGAAATGGGGTTTAACGTCCTACTGTTCTGTTTCAACTGGGCTAATGAAGACAGACATACGTCATGCAGTGTGCTTTGAGTATGAGGGAAATTTTGCCCGCCAACGTGTAAACGGGACCTCGGTTTTTCGTAACATCCGAACGAATAGACAGCAGTCCTGCACCATTGACAAGGGAAACCACGTCGGAAAATCCCAGTTAACTTCCTCGGCCAATGCGCCAGCGTCTTACTCACTTATCAACCGTGACTCCTCTATATGATAAAAACATAGTTTAAAATCCAGTCTATACAACGCGATCGTTTCGAGTGTTATATGCAAAAGGACAACGGGAATGTCGTCGCATGAATCGGGTTAGAGATTGGAACAAAGACAGATATAAATCTCTATTTAAATCTGATAACTTTATGTTTGACTTTGTTTTAAAAAAAATAGTAGACAGTAGTTTATTGACATCATAATAATATTCGAGTTCTAGTCAACTTTTTTACGACCTTGAATGTTATTAAACGCGTTCAATATTAAATTACATAAGAAAAATTAAACAAATTGAAGGGGATTGTGCTTAAAGGAGTTAAATCTCTATTCTTTGGCATTTACAAATGGACACAAATGGATCGCAAGGCATATAATAATGTAATATGAATTTATATAAACTGATTTACAATCAATCGTTTCTGTCTTTAATGTAATTTCTTCGGCGAACAACGCGAAGAGTTGAATGGTAGTCTTTAGCATCTGATTATTCCAGTCTACACCGGTAGTATTCTCCTACATGGGATATGTTTAGCCTCGTTCATCGTGTCGCCTCATTACAAATGGCGGTTTAAAGCATTCTGGCACGCAATTCGTGTGCCAATATTAAAATGTTCATTTTATCTTAAATATTGGATATCAGAAGCCCACCTTTTCACGGTAAGATAACAACATCAATGTTGATTTAAATTGACCAATAAATCGTGTTTTCAATGTAGAAGACTGTGGATGACACTGAGTTAGCGACTTGCCTCAGCCATTTTTATAGACTAAAATTTCTATTTTTACGTGTGAGTCAACTGGGCAGTTTATTCAGAAAGTGGCGATTTTCGAATCGTTAACACCATCTTCCAGCAGAGGGTACTATTTAAATCAGATATATACCAACCAGTAGACAGGTCATCCGAGTTTTCTTCTCAGCTCCTTGAAATAAAACTCTAAAGTATTCCGTTACTGACATGCAGAACTATAATTGTCACATCTAGGTGACACCATGATAAATGTACAGAAAAAAGCCTTAAGATGAAATGTTTCTTTTTTAATAGTCGTAACTTTTTACTGCTTCAGATACCTCATTATAACAAGAAACTCTTTTGTGAATGACCTTGCCTGACCTTGTAAGGTCATGTCCACTTCTGACTGACCAGTAGTTTCTTCAAGAGCTCTTCAGATAATTTGCTTTATATTGTTGTATTTCGTTCCGCATCAATGTGCATCACCCCGTTCCTATATATTGTCGACCCTCTACTTTTGAGATCAAGATGTCTCAAGGAAGTTTCTTTTACAATGTCAAAAACATCCCTAAAACAAAGCATGTCCTAGCGTCGGTACAGGATTGTACGACATGGTGAACAAAATTGGGAACTATTTCGTGAGATAAAAATCTTTTCCACTGTTTTATGTAGAGGTAAGCGTGCACGTAAAAGATCCCTTGGCAGTTCGTATTCGATATAAGAGTAGGCCACAGTGCACCTGTCCGGGCAAAATTTTCCCTCATAGCACACTGTATGGCGTGCCCGTCTTTATTAGCCAAGACGGAACAGAACAGTAGGACGTTAAACCCCATTTCATTTCATGTAGAGGTAGCGGTTCATTGAATGTCGAATTAATCTCGGGGGGTTTCAGCGTGGTCTAATATTTTTATTGGTATAGGACGGGTTGAGGCGGGGGGGGGGGGATGACCAGGAACAGTGTCTAGTCGTTGGGATGTTACTATAAATTGTAATTGTTGTCCGTGCACATAAAAGAACCTCTGGTAGTTGGAATTCAACGAAGGCTAGGCGGAATCTCCACTTTCTGGGCACAATTTCCCTCATACCACACTGCATGGTGTATATATCCGTTTTCACTACCCCGGTCAGTGCAGAAAGTAAGACGTTGAATCCCATTTCATTTCATTGTTGGAAGAATTTTTCTGTTCCAAAATAATCTTTTCGGCAAAAGAAACCCTAAATTATGAAATGAAAATTCGACAATGGATATGGTTAAATTATAACGAGAAACGGGATGCGTGTTCCTAATGAGAGAGAAAGGCGAGAAATGGGGTCTAACGTCCACTCGACACAAACTAGGTCATTTCGGGACTACCATATGATTCAATTTTAATTCAATAATTCGATTGTGCGTAGGGGTCTTTAGCAGTGGGAGGAAACAGGAGAACACGGAGAAAGCCCACGAGGTTGGACAGGCGACCATACTCCTTGTCACGTACAAGCAATGTTCCTAGTGAAATAAGAATGAAGACATTAGAAGTCTCGTACCTCTTCAAAGGGTTTCGCTAGTTGTTATGGCGTAATGAATACAGAACAAGAAGAAGAAGGAGTGTTCATGTAGCAGCACACAATGTACATTTAAATAACATTATTCAGTTGAAAACTTAAACATACATTATGCAAGAGCTAAATCTGCCTATAGTAGGTCTTTCTTTAGGCCTGAAATTAATTAACTTATCCAGACCATAATCCACTCTCGATGTCATCGCTAGCCTGTGATGTTTATTGGATTAGGTTCCGATTTGCTGTTCGACTTCCATTTATAATTTAATCAAGAAATGGATATTCGAGACTATGTTTTTTATCGTACCGACTTTAGTAATGATGATCGAGGCTAGGCCGATAATTCAATCTCTAAAATCTCGGTTCAGAGTGGGCCAATTTGACTGAAATTGTCAGCAAATTCCCTTTACATTATATAGTTTTTAACTATCATAGTGAGAACTGTCAGCTCTTTAGCTAATCTCCCATAATGTATCTTTAATTTAAAGGAACATCTTCCGGCCACAGAGGTTTATGAGATATATCTATATCAATCTAAAATACAGATTAATATTAAATAAAACATACCACATTATAAAACAAAATCACATATCTTTTAAAAACCGAGATTTTCTTTAAAACATGTCAAATATATAATTGTATATTATACTGGGAGTTGATATCCCTAGACAAAATACTAATGACGTCCTCTATTGGAGACAATATTAGCGAAATTTACACCTGTCCTATGCATTGTCTTATAAAGCCCATGCAGAGGTCGGGATACATTTGACATTCAATTTAAAAATTGCATTCTGTCTCAATTTCTTAGCAGAAGGGGCATAATTGACAAAGAAGTCGGGTCGGGGATGATTTTTTTTTTCATCATTAGGTCAGAGCTTCCGCAGGTAATAGTAAAGTGACTTTAGGCACATGGCTTGGGTGACTATTAACTAAATCACAAGGTTCGGGTTTCAAATCCCTTTTAAACAAACGACAGGTTCAGAATTCAAGCTATAACAATTACATAAAAGTTTAGAATAAAATGAGATGCAATGTCCCAATATTGTCGGAAAATTATATATTTTCTTATTAAATATGAATGTAAAGGATCATAAGCCTAGTCTTTAAAAAATTCCAAGGATACGGATCATCGAGTTGGCCAGTCTGTCATGAATTATTACAACAGATGCCGACCCAACACACCATTAAAACAAACCAATGAGAGTCCCATTCATTGAAAATCTTGTTAAATAACTTTAATTATCAAAGAGATTTGACCACAAAACACCGAATTAAACATCTTAATGATTTGTCAATACTTTGTTAAAGTCACCCACCAGCAAAAATAAATGGTTTTATTAAAAACGAACGGAAGTGTCAATATTTTGCAACCGCTGATCATCGTTGGT